TACTACACACACACACACACACACACACACACACACACACACACACACCCCGTATCTTCTTTATCCAGTCATCTGTTAATGGACATTTAGTTAGCTTCCATGTCTTGGCTATTGTAAATAGTGCTGCTATGAACATTGGGGTGCATGTATCTTTTCAAACTAGAGTTTTCTCTGGATATATGCCCAGGAGTGGGACTGCTGGACCATATGGTAGCTCTATTTTTAGTTTTTTAAGAAACCTCCACACTGTTCTGCATAGTAGCTGCACCAATTACATCCCCACCAACAGTGTAGGAGGGTTCCCTTTTTCCCACACCCTCTCCAGCATTTGTTTGTAGACTTTTGATGATGGCTCTTGTAACTTTATAGTAAGAATTTCTTCGTATTTATTTTATTTTTCTAAATTTCTTTTGTGTATTTTAGGGGGAGGTAATTAGAGTTTTTTTTATTTATTTATTTTAATGGAGGTACTGGGGATTGAACCCAGGACCTCATGCATGCTAATAAGCACGTGCTATACCACTGAGCTATACCCTCCTCCCCTTTAGTAAGAAATTTTTTTATTAAAAAAAGAAAAAAGGATGGCAGCCTGACACAATTCAGAAACAGAGATTCCAAAGAGATAACCATGAGAAAGGGTGGGTGCCCTACCTCCCTGAGTCAGGAGCTGCCCTTTAACTGCTGATTTTTGATTTCAGAGGTAGTGTGGTATGGTGGTGAGACCCAAACATCAGACACGCTCAGCCCTGGCATTCAGTCAGGATGCAGTGCCCTAGCTATTTAACCTTGCCAAACCTCAGTTTCCTAACCTGTAAAATGGGACCACTGTAACTTACCTCACAGCCTTGCTGTTAGGATTGGAAGTGATGTTTACAAAGCACCTGGCTGAGTGTCTGGCATGTAATAAGTACTCCCTTCAAATCGTGAGTGCTTTTAAACAGTGGTCTTTGCCTTTGCTAAGCTGGTTCTTTTTCCAGAAACGTCCTTTCTGCCGCTCTCTGTCCTTAGATGTTGCCAAGTAGCAGACTCGTTGTTGTGATTGACCCATGCAGTTTTTAAAAATTAAAAGTAGTTGCCAACACTAATTAAAAAAATCCAGATTTCAAGCTTCTGCTGATAAAGTCAGAATCTCCAGTCCTCAGGGCCTTGGGGCCCTACATAGTGATCAAACGCTGGAATGAGACACAGACTCCACCATCCTCCAGTTCCAGGCTCTTCTAAGGGCATTAGGGTCTCCCAGCTTCCAGGATTTGACAGGTGTTCTAGCCATGGAATTTAACAATTGAGTGACATTGTATCCTTCACTAGTGTTTTCTCTCTTTTGTTTGTTTCCTTGTTGATTGTGCACCATGAGGGGAAGGGGAAGTGTTACTTCTGGCCAGTGGTGCAGTGGTCAGCGCTGGGTAAGGCTCTTGGTAAGCCCCTCCAAAAGCACATGGTTGACACAGAACACAGAGCGTGGTTCCCAGTTTATTTCCCACAGGCGTGTCTCCTCTCTCACACAAGACCACGAGTTCCGTGCTGTGGCTACCATGGTGGGAACACTTAATGATCTAATCTTTTAATATTTTATTTAGAATTTTTACTTGGGTAACAAAGGAAAAAAGAAAACAAGGAAACAAATGAGAAAATGAATGCAAAGAACAAGGAATCCTTACTTGAGGTAAGTGTAACTTTGCAGACTAAAAGAAAAGGATGTTAACTGTATCTATTTTTAAATGATTTGCTTTTCAGAACAATGGGCGATTCTGAGACACTGAAATTTTAACTTGGGGTTTTAAAATCAAATTATTGCTAAATTATAGCTATTTAGAGAACTAAACTGGTTCTTGAGTTGTTAAAAAGTATGACTTTAGACAATATATTTCACTCTTCCTTAAGTTCAGTGAGTAATCCTTGACTAAAAGACATGGATTCACATAAAACTTGCCTCTAACATTCCATATATTTCGATACTTAAGTGCTCCACAGAAGTCAGGCTCAAGGATCTCCAAATTTTGTTTGCAGTGAGTTCTAAGATGCCCTTCCAGCAGCCACATGTGGTGGAAAGCGTGAGGTTGGAGTTAGAGATCTGATCATGGTTGGCTCTGCCTGCTGAGTTCATGTGTTATTAGTCAAGTCCAGGAACCTTGGTTTCCGGTATTGTTTTGAATTATTACAAAGACTTAGGGAGTTAGGGGAAGGAGAGTGTGTAAATTACCATGCAGATGTCTGTGATTGTCCCTGCAGGGATGTGTTCCAGAAGTTCATTTGATGTGGTTTTTTGTTTTGTTTTTTTTAAGTCTAATGAGTTTTCACATAGCAGCTCTGCTGAAAGTCAAGGCTCTGTTCCCTGCACGTAATGCAGATATGTGCCAGATCATAGGTCACAGGTCGGCATGGGAGACCCAGATTTTTGTTGCCCCTGACAATATTTTCTTGAGTTAGTAGAATCAGGGCTTCTCTTGAAAATTCAGAATACCTGCTGATACCTGGACCCACATTCCCACCTGGAGCCAATTCACTGATGCTGAAGGGCACTCTTTCCATGCACCAGGTGTGTCCGGGCCCCTGCACAGGGGTCTAGCCGCTCCAGGCTCTCCCAGCCCTGTTCCCAGTGGAGCAGGTAATACAGCCTTGCTGCCACTCAGTCCCAAGGTCCTGGAAACATGCTACAAGTTCTGGTCCTGGGACCAAGAGCCCAGTGGGTGGTTCCCAGGGAGGCCCAAACGGTGGGAATGGGGACATTCTTTCTACATTTATCAAACTGACTCCAGGTTGAGTTGAGGAAAGTGAAGCACCAGGCATCCCCAGCAGTATGGAGATTCAGTGTCCGAGCGTGCCCAGCAGCGATGGGGACTGGGACCTGGCAGGGGACATAGCCATTGGCCATCAATCAGTGCTTCTGCAGCAGCTGCCTGTAAATCAGGGCCTGGGTCTGCCTTGACCTACACAATTGCCTGAATAGTTCTCATTACAAGACTTCAGCAGTATTTTTAAGGCTGGATGTGAAAGAAAATAAAAGCATGTTATACTATGAAAAATAAGCCTTATCCTGCTTGCGAATTTGGACCCCAAATCTGCTTGAATTTAAGAGATTATTGACAAGACGACTAATACCAGCTAAGTTGAGACGAAACTAGGGAAAATGTGAGCAAAGGTGTCTCCCCGCCCCACTACATATGAATTGACTTGAAGGATGTGAAATTAAGTTATTCTGCTTCTATGAGACTGCATGAAAAGAGGTTGAGAATTATTTTTTTTAAAGAAGGCAAAAATAAGTTCGAATATTTGAACTGAAAATTAGAACAATATGTAATTTTATGACGTTGCTTTTTAAAAGACATTTCTTAAGAATTACATAATTCTATGCAGGTTTTGACTGTTAAAAATCTGCTCTTAGGAAATGTACTTTGTTACTATCTTTTCTGGTACTAATTGGCATCAATCTGGTACTTTTCTGGTATTAATAATTGCCTTCTTCATTTTTTGGTAAGAAACTATTCCCCCAAAAGGAAATCTTACTATTGTTGACAACATGGATGGACCTTGATGGTGAAGTGAAATAAATCAGACAAAGATAAACACTGTATCATCTCATGCATCTGTGGAAGCTACAACAACAACAAAAAACCTGAAACATAGATGCAGAGAAGAGATTTGTGGTTGCCAGAGGCAGGGGTGGGGGGGTGAATGAAATGGTAAAGGAGATCAAAAAGTACAAACTTCCAGTTATAAAATAAGTAAGTCCTGGGGCTGTCATATACAGCATGGTGACTGTAGTTTACTGTACCATATGGTACATTTGAAAGTTGCTAAGAGAGTAGATCTTAAAAGTTCTCATCACAAGAAAAAAAAATTGTATCTGTGCGGGGTGATGGATGTTAACTAACCTTACTGTGATGATCATTTCACAACGTATACATACATCAAATCATTAGGTTGTACACCTAAACCTAATACAATATTATATATCGATTGTTATCTGGATTTAGAAAAAAAGAAAATTAGGTCAAAAATAAAATATTAATGTATCCATACTTTATGTATAGAATTAATCATATATAATTTTTCTATTTACTAGCAGTAAGGTAGTCATTTTTTTTTCACTTACAGGTGAAGGAATAGGTTTTCTATTCACCGACTTAGAATAACAGAAACAGACTATGTAATGCTTGCTTTTGCAATATACCAAGATTATTCTCACAACCTTCCTTATGAAATTGGGGCTATCATTACTCTAATTTTGCAAGTAAATGAACTGAGGTTTAGTAACAGAGCTAATTTGTCAAGAAACTTCTAAGTCTTAACTCAGGAGCTGAACCTCTTTTTTGGCAAACGGTATCCTATGTCAGTGTATGCGTTCGATCAGAGCTGTAGACAAAATGATGTTTGGCTTGAAGGCAAGTTTGTCACAGTTTGTTTAAATGTGAACAAAATATGCTTTCACTTTCTTGGATTTGTTTATCATCGGAATCTCAATTTCAGGAAAGTTTCTGTGGAACATCCATCATTGTGCCAGAACTCGAGGGAGCCCTTTATCTGAAAGAAGATGGGAAGAAATCCTGGAAGAGGCGCTATTTCCTTTTACGAGCTTCTGGAATTTATTATGTCCCCAAAGGAAAGACTAAGGTCAGAAAGGAAAAATATGCTGTAGGAAAAAAGCATTATCATGAACAGGAAACTAAAGAAATCCTTAGATGTTCATTTAAATCCACTCTCTTCTGCTGTGAGATTTATGTTACTACGATGTATATACAGACATATATCCTATTAGACAGAATTACAGAAATCCTTCTGAATCTTTCCATTGCTGTCTCTTGAAAGTGAAGAATTTAATCTATTTTAAGGTCAGGTTTCAGAAGTGATGACCGAAGCACTTTTCTTGAGATTAATTTGTTTCTTTACATACTGATTTTTTGAGGACTTTTTCCCTCCTTTTTTTACTCTATTATTGTGAAGTCATTACAGTAAAACTTCTTATATCTGGAATCATAGAGGTATTAGGTACTGATAGATTTGCAGTTAGCCCTTATAACTTGAATGTTTGAATTGTTCTCTGAAGTGTACTATACACATTTCCCTGACTAATGTAGCAAAGTTTGTTAGATATTTCACTTCTGTTTGGTAATTTAAGATTATTGCCTCAAATCTATAAAGCATATAGTAAATTTGTTTCCTTTGAAATGTAATTGTAACCCTCATTCTAAATCTTAGCTTTTTCTAAGACTTTTCTTAACAGACGGCCATTTTCACCTTTTGCTCATCTTTTAGCAGCTGTAGGCTCTCTCTCTTCCTGTATCTGGAGTAAGCCAAAGCTTTTGCCTTCACTGATGAATCCAGGGCACCACCAAATGGCATATTTTCAAATTGCAGCTTTCCTCTAATTAAGGCTTGACCCACAATCCCTTGCAGGTGAAGTCATGGTGCCCATCCAGGGCTGTTCCCACTAGTTAGAAATGGAATGCAGGAGAGCATTGTGGGAAACTCTTGGTCCAGAGCAGCTATTACTCCTGCCTGGTCTCAGCCTCAGAACGGATACTTTACCATCTGTGCTATCTTTAGTTCATTCCCAGACACTGGGGACATAACAGTTGACCCACAAATCATTGGTTTTATTTTAGAAATGTTATGTCTTTGGTATTTACATATGAATAAGGCTATCACAAATAACACACTTAGTGACAAAAATTGGAAGCATTCACATTAGAGTTGGACAGAGTCCTTTTTGTCTCTGCTCCCATTAATGCTGGCATGGAGGAACAAGCAGGAAGTCAAGAAAAAGAATAACAAGTGTAATTATTGGAAAAGAAGAGGCAAAGCTCTTTATTCACAGTTGACATGATTGCCTACCAGAAAATATAAAACACTCATTTGAGAAACTTAATAGTTTGGTCCTAATGAACCAAATAAATTTACCAAATAAGAAACTTTTCCTTTATATAAACAATATGCAAATTAAATATAATGCAAAAGATTCCATACATTACAGGAATTGAAAAATGCAAAATATCTAACAATAAACTTGACAAGAAATGTTTGAGATCTATATGGCATAAAATATAAAATGTAATAAAGGAAATGAGTTAGAACTGAATAAATAGAAATGTACCGTGCGACAGATGAAAAGATATTAATTCTCCTCCCAATTTTTCTATATATTCAATTCCAAGAAAAAATTTCAATAGGTTTCTTTCTACTTGAAGTTCAAAAACTGATTCTGAAATTCATCAGAAAGAGAGATTGTTCTGAAATAGACACACACAAAAATTATGAAGAAGACTAGGGAGAACTCGTCCCAGATGTCAAAACATTAGACAAAAACAGGGCAAGAAGAGAAAACACATCAACTGAGAGCCATCTAATATAAGAGAAATTGAAGTGAGCACTTTATAGCTCACTTTATAGCAGTGGGGAAAGAACTTGATACTCAACAAATAGCATTGAAATAATTGTATATCCATTGGGAAAAAAATAGTTGCCTACCTCATACCATGTTCCAAATTAAATCTTACATTGATTAAAATATATTTGGAAAAATTATAAACTATTAGAAGAAAATGTAGGTCAATATTTTCATAATTTGGCAGTGGGGAAGCCTTAGGCAAGACTAAAAACTCAAAATTCAACAGAGAAAACTGACAGATTTGACTATATGAAGTTGTGTTTAATTCCTTATGGCCAGAGATACCAAACAAGAAGTTAAAGGCTCACTCTAGAGTCAGAGACTACATTTGCAGTGTGTATAACCAAGTACGAATATCCATAAAACATAAAAACTTCAACAGCTCATTGAGAAAAAGATAAACACACATAAAAAAGGCAATGCTTATTAAGTGAGAATTCACAGAAACAAATCTCAGAAGCCATGAATAATTAAAAAGTTGCTCTATCTTACTAGTAATCAGAAAAATATAAATTAAATAGTGAAATATTCCCTCCTGTGGGACTGATAAAATTAACAATGTTGATAATATGCAAATTTCATCAAGAGTGGGAAAGAAAAAGGGGCAGTCATGCACAGAAGGTTGGACTGTAAGCTGATAACAGCCAAACGGATGGGGAGGACACAGTTTAGCAAGATTTGCATAGGCAAATATAAAAGGGAATAATCCTTCAAAGGCTGGCTCTGTGTTTGGCAATCTGTCCCGCGGAAGCATTTGTTAAATGCACAGTATTTTTTTGTAATAGCAAAATACTGAAATAACTTCTAATTACCTATAGTAGAATGGTGGAATAAATCGTTACATCTATACAGTGGAATGTTATGCAACTATACAATGAATGTGATATATCCTTTTTACGTCCTGACGTAGAAAGACCCCAAGATACAATGTTAAGAAAAAGAACAAATTCATGGAAAAGTATTTATAGTAAAGCCTCACTTACATTTTAAAAATTGTACATACATATGTATGTATGCCTGTGTTTATATTTACACATGCAAAGGTATATAAATGTTTACCCAAAAACATTTGGAAGAATGTCTTTGGAGAAAAGAATGAAATTAGAAAAAAGAGTGACAAAGGAAGATTTTCATTTCATTATGTATAAAATAAATTGTTTTTTAAATTATGATGAATATGTTTTATTTTTCTAATTAAAAAAATTACAACTTTGAAAAGCCAGAAGGAAGTATCTTACAAGAAAAAAAGTGTGCAACCATATATAAAGGAATAATTGTGCACTGAGGTGTAGCAATTCTGCCCTTTATTTTTAATTCATTGACTCTGTAAAAGAATTACAGGCTGGGAGGGGAGAAAAAAGAGGAATAGAACAGATTTGTAACTGAAGTGTAACCAAATATGTAGATTAGAGGTTGCAGTCTTCACAATGCATATTGTACATGGAGGAGAGGGTTCTGTTTCCATAGCAACACCACCCGACTCTAAAGACAGCCTGAAAAGAATCTTTTCTCCTCGGGAGGAAGTGCATGAAGTGTGTGCTAATTTTCTGAGCATCAAATTTACCTCTCATTGTTCACCCTGAAGGGGCCTTTTTTCTAAATGCTCGATTGTGAAATCCATCACTGACTTAGAATGGTAAAGGCCAAAATGCAATTTCTGACTAGGTGCCGGGTCACCTTGTCTAGACCATGTCAATAATGATGTCTCGAGGTCAGCCAGTCGGCTCTGGGAGTCCACGTGCGGCTGCCAGAACAGCTGTGTAATCTTTTGCTCCGGTTCTGGCCTGTGGCACGCAGGTTTGCCTTGGATGTACTCTTTTACTTCTTAACATGTAGGCTTAGCTTTTAGAAAACGACACGTGGTAGAGGCTTAAATTACCTGAAATTCTGTTTTTCCTGCTAAAATATAACCCTCCGTTGTGCCATCACGAACAACCTCGGAAATATATTACCTGTCAACTAGGCTGAGGTTAATTTTTTCCTTCTCTTTCAGACATCTCGAGATCTGGCATGTTTCATACAGTTTGAAAATGTCAACATTTACTATGGGATTCAGTGTAAAATGAAATATAAAGCACCCACTGACTACTGCTTTGTTTTAAAGGTATGTTATATGAAGTCCTTACTTTAGATTTATAAGCAATTTGAGTGCGTATTTCCTTTTTTTTAATTGAAGTATAGTCAGTTTACAGTGTTGTGTCAATTTCTGGTGTACAGCATAATGTTTCAGTTATACATATACATACATATATTTGTTTTCATACTCTTTTTCATTATAGGTCACTACAAGATATTGAAGATAGTTCCCTGTGCTATACAGAAGAGACTTGCTGTTTATCTATTTTATATATTGCAGTTAGTATCTGCAAATCTC